TTTCTCCCCAGAAATATGACACTTTCTCCCAGAAATACCATTTATCTCAACCAAAATACGACATTTTCCCCCAGAAATACCACTTTTTTCACCAAAATTATGACATTTTCCCCCAGAAAGACCTGTTTTCTCAACCAAAATATGACATTTTCCCCCAGAAATACCACTTTTTTCACCAAAAATATGACATTTTCCCCCAGAAATACCACTTTTCTCCCCGAAATTATGCCATTTCCTTTTCCAGCTGCTCAGCCGGGTGCTGCTGGCCAGGCTCTGAGCCAAGCTCTGCCCCGCTCCTCTCACCTGCTGCCTTTTTATCACTACGACAGAAAAGCATTGAGGGAGAAGGAAGAGGTGCACACGATGCACAGACACAGCAGAGCTGTGTGTGTGATGCTGTGCCTCTGATGGACCCTGGGCTTCACCTCTCTGTGAAGTTCCCTACTGTTGGAAACATCCAAATACTTTTTGTCAGGCCGGTATCTCTGATAAAGCAGATTTTATTCGCGATTGCAATGGCGGGCGTCCCGCAAGCAGGAGCACCTATGGACACAAGATGACAGTCTTTATACCCTGTTCTTCCCTTTATCCATCCCCCTGCCCTGTTTCCCCATTGGCTGGGTGCTCCAGGTTCACAATCTTATCAGTTGACGTTTGTTGATTCGTGTGTTATCTGGTGTAGCCATCCTGTTGTTTCCCAGATGTCTCGGTGCTCTTCTTGTATTGAAATGGTGATTGTCTCCGAAGTCTTCATTAAACAAAGAGCATTGGGGGGGATGATGCCAGGCCTTTAGATGTCTCTTCAGGGCTTCCTCGGCATACCATGCTTTGTTCTCTAGTTTGATCTCGTGCAGGATCTTCTTGCAATGTGTGTGGCAAAAGATACGTATATACACCTATATACAGAGCATGCATTCCTGGGAAGGTTTGTCTAGAGGATAAGCGATGTAAACTATCAGAGTTCTTCCCCAAGTCAAGTAGAAGGACTCCCAAAAGGAACTATGACAACAGAGTTCATGAAATAAAAACATTATCCAATTCTAATGCAGAAACAACATTTGATTCCCACACTACATATCACCATTACCTGGGCCACCTCTCCCTCTGCCAAAACACAACCCGCCTCTCACAGCAGCCGGTTGTGTCACCCGGCACAGCTGTGTCCTTGTCACAGTTGTGTCACCCAGCACAGCTGTGTCATCATCACAGCCCGGTCTGCTTGTGTCACCCATGATGGTTGTGGCTCCTGTTGTAGCACCCAGCCCAGCCGTGTCACCGTCACAGCCGCAGGCTGGTTGTGTCACCCAGCACAGTTGTGTCGCTGTCACCATGATGTCACCCATCACAGCTGTGTTACCGTCACAGCTGCAGGTCGGTTGTGTCACCCGGCACATCTGTGTCACCCATCAACAGCTCTGTCAACCATCAGAGCTCTGTCACTCATCACAGCTGTGTCACCCATCAGAGCTGTGTCAACCATCACAGCTCTGTCAACCATCACAGCTGTGTCAACCATCAGAGCTCTGTCAACCATCACAGCTCTGTCACCCATCACAGCTGTGTCACCCATCACAGCTGTGTCACCCATCACAGCTGTGTCACCCATCAGAGTTCTGTCACCTATCATAGCTGTGTTCCCATCACAGCTCCATCACCCATCACAGCTGTGTCATCCATCCATCAGAGCTCTGTCAACCATCACAGTTGTGTCACCCATCACAGCTGTGTTACCCCTCTATCACAGCTGTGTCACCCATCACAGCTGTGTCACCTCTCACAGCTGTGTTCCCATCAGAGCTCTATCACCCATCACAACTCTGTCACCCATCCATTACAGCTGTGTCACCCATCACAGCTGTGTCACCCATCCATCACAGTTCTGTCACCCATCACAGCTCTGTCACCTCTCACAGCTGTGTTCCCATCAGAGCTCTATCACCCATCACAGCTGTGTCACCCATCCATCAGAGCTCCGTCACCCATCACAGCTCCATCACCCATCACAGCTGTGTCACCCATCAGAACCCTGTCACCCATCACAGCTGTGTCACCCTGTTGGAAATATCCAAATAATTTTTATCAGGACGGTATCTCTGATAGCAGCAGATTTTATTCACGATTGCACTGGCAGGCATCCCGCAAGCAGGAGAGCACCTTATGGACACAACATGACAGTTTTTACACCTCGTTTCCCCCCCCTCCCCTGTTTCCCCACTGGCTGGGCACTCCAGGTTCACAATCTTAACAGAAGGCTTACATTTGTTAATTACTTGTTAATTTGTTTGTTATCTGGTGTCAGTCCCTCATCTCCAAGATGTCCCAACACTCTTCTTGTTCATATTCATATGGTGATTTTCTTCGGAGTCTTTGTTAAACAAAGAGCAGGGAGGGAAGTGCCCCCATCTTCCTCAATACCTTCCTCAGGCACTCCCTGAGGTACATCACTGATTGTCCTTTTAATTTGCACAGGATACCCTTGCAATGTGTGTGACATCTGTATTTCCAACGCTGGCTATCCATAAGTTGTTACTGGCTTAGATATGTATGTTTTTAATGATTTAACTTCTCCTCCTTTAGTTCTCTATTACTCAGGTCCTGTCGATCCAGCACCACAAGCTACTACTTTTCCAGCATCAAGGGGTTTCTGATCTGTAAAGATATTTCTTACATCTAGCTTGCCTTTCACTGAAGGCCCAGAAGTTTTTCAGATGGCTGGACAGACAGGAGCTTCAGTCTTTGTGCTTAGAATTTACTCCATCTACCTAACCTCTATGGATATATATATATATATACATATTACTTACATACTGAGTATGTGTTGTTGGGGAAGATTTATACAGGGGATTAGAATCACAGAATCACAGAATGGAAAGGGTTGGAACCCAGGATGTTGTGTTGAGGGACATGATTTAGTGAGAACCATTGGTGAAGGGTGAATGATTGGACTGAATGATCCTGTGGGTCTTTTCCAGGCTTATTGATTCTATGATTCTATGACTCTACGACTCAAGGATGACGAAGCTCCAACCCCTCACCACATGCAGGGCCACCAACCTCCACATTTCACAGCAGCCCAGGCTGCCCAGGGCCCCATCCAACCTGGCCCTGAACACCTCCAGGGATGGACGGGGCATCCACAGCCTCTGGGCAGCTGTTCCAGCACCTCACCGCTCTCACAGCAAACAACTTCCCCCTGACACCCAGCTGAAATCTGCCCTCCCTCAGTTCCAGCCATTTCCCTCGTCCTGTTCTCATCTCCCCTTCCCAAGAGCTGACTCCCCTCCTGTCTGTAGGCTCCCTTTAGTACTGCAGGCTGCAATGATTCACCCCGCAGCTTCTCTTCTCCATGCTGAACAAGCCCAGCTCCCTCAGCCTGTCTTTGCAGGGAGGTGCTGCAGCCCTGCTCATCTCTGTGGCTCCTCTGGACCCTCTCCAAAAGCTCCCTGTCTTTCTTGTCCTGGGGCTCCAGCCCTGGACTCAGTGCTGCAGACGGGGCCTCACAAGAGCAGAGCAGAGGGGAACAATCACCTCCCTGTCCCTGCTGGCCACCCCTCTGCTGATGGAGCCCAGGATCCCATTTGCTTTCCCAGCTGCAATCACACCCTGCTGCTTCACGTTCAGTTTTTCATCCCTCAGAACCCCCAGGTCCTTCCCTGCAGGGCTGCTCTCAAGTCCCGCTCCTTCCAGTCTGTAGGGATGCCTGGGATTCCTCCAGCCCAAGTGCAAAACTCTGCACGTTGCCGTGTTGAACCTCATCAGGTTCACCCAGTCCCACCTTTCCAGCCTCTCGAGGTCCCTCTGAATGGCATCCCTTCCTTCCACCGTGTCAACCACACCACTCAGCTTGGTGTCTCAGCAAACTGGCTGAGGGTGCACTCGATTCCACCATCGATGTCACTGATAAAGATTAGCAATGAAAACTAATCAGAGAACCCCAGTAAAGCAGAAAGGCCCTTGAAAAGAACTGTTAGTTCTAAAAAAGGACCCAAGCGATAGCAGAGGCCATGAAATTAACAAAATTCTCATTTTGTTCTGATGCAGAAACAACATTCAATTCCCACAGCCCCCACTCCCATGGTCCGGCCGTGTCACGCAGCACAGCTGTGTCCTGGTCACACTTATGTCGCCCATCAGAGCTGCTCAGCCCCGCTCCCACAGTCGGGCTGTGTCACGCAGCACAGCCCGCTGGAGCCGCTCACCACGGCACGGTGACGGAACGGTAACCGGAGCCACCGTGGCCATCTCCAGGGGAGCCCTCCTAGGAGCGCACATTAACACGGCTCACAACACCGCCCGGAGGCTGCGGGGTTGGGGTCGCTCCGGAGACCCTCCCCTGGGATTGGGGGGAGAGAGGGGCAGGCACCGCAGCCACGATCGCCCCCTCCTCAAATCCGTGAGTAAACGGCACAGGGAAAAGCAAGAGGGGGTGGTTGGGGCTGGGGGGGACTCCGAGCTGCCGCGGTGCGCCGCGACAGGGGACAGCCGCGGCTCCATCCGCTGCTCACAGCCCCCAACCTCGGGCACCTCTGGGGAGGAAGGCGGCTCTCCTCCCGTTTTGGCAGCAAACTGGATTCACATTGAGCCGGGGGTTCGGGTCGGGTGTTGGGGTCCGTTTGTCCTCAGGAAGAGAGGTCGTTGGAACTGCTCCATTTTTTTTGGGGGGGAGAGGGGTTTCACTGTCCCTGTAAGAGTCCAGGCACCGCGGAGATGGGGCACGCAGGGACGTGCTTAGGGGGATGGGGTGGGGGTGGGGGTCTTTTCCAGCCCTAATGACTCCATGAGTGAGAAGGGTGCCCACGGGTCAATGGGTGGGCTTGGCAATCTCGGAGGTATTTCCAGACAGAACGATTCCATGAGTGGGTGCGGGGGGCGGTGGTGGGGGGAGGGCTGGATGGGGTGGCCCTGGGGGGCCTTTCCCAACCGGAGTGATTCTGTGATCATGCTCCCGGCGGGGATGGGCTGATGGTTGGATTCAGTTGTATAGCTGTCTTCTCACCTTAATGACCCTACACCCCTTCACTTGTCTCCAGGCAGACCCCCGCTGCTCCCCCCACAGCCGTCGGCTCACCTCTGCCCATGGCTTCCGAGGAGCCCACGATCCCCCCGGCCCCCGCAGCCCCCGGGAGGAAACGTCGGAGGAAAGGGAAGGAGAAACCCGTTTCGGGGGAGGGGGACAACGGGGAGAGCGGGGACGATGGAGCGGGGCGGGTGGCTGAAATCGAGGGGCTGACGCGGGCCGGGTGCCGGGCGCTGGGGCTGGGGGACACGCGGGAGGCACTGGGCTGCTTCAGGAGGGCGGTGGGACTCTCGCTGCGCACCCCCAGCCCATGGCTGCGCAGGGATTGCGCCTTCCGCCTGGGGGCCGCCTACGTGGAGGCCGGGAAGCCCGGAAAGGGGCTGAAATTCCTCCTCAAATCCCGACCCTCGGACGGGGAACGGCCGGAGGGGCTCCGTTTCGACGTCGCTGCGGCTCACGAAGGGCTGAGGGATTTCCCGGAGGCTCTGCGGGATTCCGACGGGGCGGGGAGCAGCGTGGCGATGGGCTGCTGCTACCTGGGCATGCGGGAGCCCGAAAGAGCCGCCCGCTGCTTCCTGGAGGCGGCGCGGGGCTACGCGGGGGTCCACTGCCCCGACGCGGCCGCCGTGGCGCTGAGCAGAGCGAGCGGCTCCATGCTGCAGAGCAGCCGATTCGGGGCCGCCGAAGTCGCGGGGACCCTCGCCCGGTGCTGGGCGCTCTGTGACAGCATCTCCGATCCAGCCCTGCAGGGTAACTCCACACCGGGTCCTCTGCTCCCATTGCAAGGGTGCACGACCCAACCCATCCCTCTGCTCCTATAGCATGGATATACGACCCCACCCCATCCCTCTGCTCCCATTGCATGGATGACGACCCCAACCCATCTCTCTGCTCCCATTGCATGGGTGCATGACCCCAACCCATCCCTCTGCTCCCATTGCATGGATTCAGGACACCAACCCATCCCACTGCTCCCATTGCATGGGCGCACAACCCCAACCCATCCCTCTGCTCCCATTGCATGGATGCAAGACCCCAACCCATCCCTCTGCTCCCATTGCATGGATGCACGACCCCAACCCATCCCTCTGCTCCCATTGCATGGATGACGACCCCAACCCATCCCTCTGCTCCCATTGCCATGGAATACACAACCCCACCCCATCCCTCTGCTCCCATTGCATGGGTGCACGACCCCAACCCATCCTTCTGCTCCCATTGCATGGGTGCACAACCCAACCCTTCCCTCTGCTCCTATAGCATGGATATATGACCCCACCCAATCCCTCTGCTCCCATTGCATGGAATACATGACCCCAACCCATCCCTCTGCTCCCATTGCATGAAATACATGACCCCAACCCATCCTTCTGCTCCCATTGCATGGGTGCACGACCCCAACCCATCCCTCTGCTCCCATTGCATGGATGCATGACCCCAACCCATCCCTCTGCTCCCATTACACAAGGTGCACAACCCCAATACATCCCTCAACTCCCATTGCTTGGATGCATGACCCTAACCCAACGCTCCCCCTGTGCCCCCCAGGGAAGCTCTACAACGACATCGGCCTCTGCTACTCCCAGCTGCTCATCTTCCCGCTGGCTGCAGAGAGCTTTGAGCGCGCGCTCGCCGCATGCCGCAGAGCACCAGGATGCAGCGGGGAGGCTGCAGTGCTGCAGAACCTGGGTGCTGCCCGCAATGCATTGCAACACTTCAGCGCAGCCCTGGCCCCACACCGGCGAGCGGCAGCGCTGCACGGTACGGCATCACAGCCTCACTCTGTGCGGGGGGGTGGTACGAAAATGAACCCCGGTGATGAATTGCAGGCACTGCGGGGAACCGGAGGGCGCAGGGGCAGTGCTTTGGGAACTTGGCGTACGCCTTCAGCCAGCTTGGGGAGCACGAGGCTGCTGCAGAGAACTACCTGCACGCCCTGCAGGCTTTCCGGGACTCGGGTAAGGGGCAGCATCCCCAGGAGACCCCGGTGCCACGTGTCGGAGCTGTGCAGCAGCCAGCAGAGCTTGCAGCGAGCCCCGTGATGCTTCACCGTGCAGCCAGAACTGATGCAACCCTTTGGCATGCAGGGGATGTGCTGGGGCAGTGCAAAGCATGTGAGGGGCTGGGGGCTGCCCGCTTTCACCTGGGGGACCCTCAGAGGGCCATCAGGCACTACCAGGAGGCCTTGAGGCTGCTGTCCCGCTGCCAGGTACAGGGGACCCCAGGGATGGACCCTACATGCATGGCACGCACCAACCACCCCCTGGGGATGGCCTTAGTGGGGTCTCTTGCACAGGGCACCCCCAGGGCAGATGGTGAGAGGATTGTGACTGGGCTGACCCGCACCCTCCAGATGCAGCTCTGCCTCCGGCCCACCCCGGCCCTGGTGAGCAGCCCCCCACCATGGGGGTCGGGATCGGGGGGCTGGTGGGGTATGGGGACAGCAGCAAAGCTCTGCGCGCTCCTGAGCCGTGCTTGCATGCACTGAGGGGGGGTTGGTTGGTTGGTGGATGGGGACGTCATGCACAGACCCCATGCCACCCCATCATCATGCTGCTGCCCACAGGACCTCGTCCCGCTGCAGTTCTGCTCCCCACTGCCCCACATCAGTGGGACGCAGCCACGGAGACGCACGGTGTGAGTAGGATTCTGCCCTGAGCTCCTCTGTGGGGCAATCCCAGCATCGCCCATGGGATAAATCTTCCCTCCTGCATCCCCTGCAGGTCCTTCCAGGACACAGGGCAGGATGGGGGTGAAGCTGCACCGAGGGCACCACCTGTGGTGTCAGGTAAGGGGGTGTGCAGGGCCGGAGTGCGTGGGGTTATTGCCATGGGGGATGGAGCCCACCCATGCATGGGGAAGTGCTGTGTTCATCCCATCCTAGGCACAGCCCTGGAAAGAAATTTTCCTTCCAGAGATGGAGGTGGGCAATTTGAACGGGGTGGGAGAGGCTAGAAGTAAAATACCCCCCTCTCCCACCCAAACAATGATCCAACGAGGAACCTCCTGCAAACCATAACGATGCGTTTCCCCAGCACCAAAGCTTCGCCATCCCCCCGCGCTCCCACCCTCCATCCCCGCAGTGATAGCACTACGAACGGCCCCCGACCCCCCCCGCAGCACCAGGGCCGGACCCAAGGATCTGGGGGGCTGCACAGTGCTGTCTCAGTTCTGCAGTCTGCTGTGAGCACGGGGAGGAACACGGAGCAGAGCTGCACTTCCACCACCCAACGCGGCACGGAGCCGACTGCTCTCCTTGTGCTGTAAGATCTCCCTCCATAAAGGTGTGCTTTCATAGAATCGTGGAATCATTACGGTTGGAAAAGATCCCCAAGAGCCCCATCCCCAACCCCAACCCATCCCCCCAAACCACATCCCCACCTGCCACATCTCTGTGGTGCCTGAACGTCTCCAGGGACAGTGACCCCTTTCCCCTTCTTGGGCAGTTTCAGTGACTGCTCTCTAGGAGAAGAAATTAATTCCAAGATGCAACCCAACTCCCCTGGCACAGTGTGAGCCACCACCTCTTGTCCCATCATTGTTACCTATGAGCAGAGGCTGACCCTCATGGGGCCACATAGAGTCTGACACAAGCCAGGATCCCAAAAGCCTTCTGGGCCACTTGGGCACAGTGCTGGCTCACGGGCAACTGTTGGTCAACCAGTGGCCAACCGTTGGTCAATTGCTGGTCAACCATTGGCCAACCGTTGGTCAATTGCTGGTCAACCATTGGCCGACCACTGGTCAATTGTTGGTCAACCATTGGCAAACCGTTGGCCAACCACTGGTCAACCATTGGTCAGTGGTTGGTCAACCATGGGCTGATCACTGGTCAATTGTTGGTCAACCATCGGCCAACCACTGGTCAATTGTTGGTCAACCATTGGCCAACCGTTGGCCAACCATTAGTCAACCACTGGTCAACCATTGGTCAATGGTTGGTCAACTATTGGCCAACCACTGGTCAATTGTTGGTCAACCATTGGCTCACCACTGGTTAATTGCTGGTCAACCATTGGCCAACCACTGGTCAATTGTTGGTCAACCATTGGCAAACCGTTGGCCAACCACTGGTCAACCATTGGTCAATGGTTAGTCAACCATTGGACGACCACTGGTCAGTTGCTGGTCAACCATTGGCCAACCACTGCTCAATTGTTGGTCAACCATTGACGAACCAAACATTGGTCAACCATTGGTCAGCTATTGGTCAATCATTGGCCAACCATCAGTCAACCACTGATCAACAGTTGGCCAACCACTGGTCAACTATTTGTCAACTGTTGGTCAACCATCTGTCAATCATTTGTCAATCACCGATCAATCATTGGCCAATCGTTGGTCAGCCATTGGTCAGTCACTGGCCAACCATCGGTGAACTGCAATGAAACGCAATGCAACACAGTGCAACACAGCACAGTGCAATGCAAAGGAATGCAGTGCAAAACAACACTGCACAATGCAATGCAACACAGTGCAACACAGCACAGGGTAATGCAAAGCAATGCAGCACAGAACATTACTGCAATGCAACGCAAAGCAACACAGTGCAACACAGCACAGTGCAATGCAAAGCAATGCAGTGCAACAGCACTGTGCAATGCAACACATTGCAAACCAGCACGGTGCAACGCAGTGCAATGCAACACAACGTGGTGCAACACAATGCGGTGCAACGCAATACAATGCAACACAGAGCAAAGCAGTGCAATGCAACACAATGCGGTGCAACACTGTGCAATGCAACACAATGCGGTGCAACACCATGCAATTCAACACAATGCAATTCAACACAATGCAGTGCAACACAGAGCAATGGAGTGCAACACAGTGCAATGTGATGCAACACAGAGCAATGCAACACAGAGCAATGTGGTGCAATGCAGCGCAATGCAACATAATGTGGTGCAACACAGAGCAGTGTGGTGCAACACAATGTGGTGCAGCACAGAGCAAAGCGGTGCAACACAGAACAATGCAACACAGTGCAGTGCAACACAGAGCAATGCAACACAATGTGGTGCAACACAGAGCAAAGCAGTGCAGTGCAACACAATGCAGTGAAACACAATGCAATGTGATGCAACACAGAGCAATGCAACACAGAGCAATGTGGTGCAACACAGTGCAATGCAACACAATGCAGTGCAACACAGAGCAATGCAACAACACAGTGCAACACAGAGCAGTGTGGTACAGCAGAGCAATGCAACACAATGTGGTACAACGCAGAGCAAAGCAGTGCAACTCTGCAATGCAACACAGTGCAGTGCAACACAGCAAAGCAGTGCAATGCAGTGCAATGCAGCACAGTGCAGTGCAACACAGAGCAAAGCAGTGCAATGCAACACAATGTGGTGCAACACAGAGCAATGCAGCACAGTGCAACAGAGTGCAATACCATGCAGTGCAACACAACATAGTGCAACACAGGGCAACAGGGCAACATAACAGTGCAATACAGTGCAAAGCAGTGCAACACAGCACAGGGCAATGCAAAGCAACGCAGCGCAAAACAACACTGTGCAATGCAACACATTGCAAAACAGCACAGTGCAATGCTAAGCAATGTAGTGCAACACAGCACAGTGCAATGCAGTGCAACGCAGTGCAACACAGCAATGTGCAATGCAGTGCAACACAGTGCAAAATAGCACAGCACAGTGCAATGCATGCAAAGCAGTGCAAAACAACACTGCACAATGCAGCGCAACACAGTGCAACACAGCACAGTGCAATGCAAAGCAATGCAGCGCAGAACATTACTGCAATGCAATGCAATGCAACACAGTGCAACACAACACAGTGCAATGCAGTGCAACACAGTGCAACACAGCACAGGGTAATGCAAAGGAATGCAGCGCAGAACATTACTGCAATGCAACGCAATGCAACACAGTGCAACACAGCACAATGCAATGCAGTGCAACACAGTGCAACACAGCACAGTGCAATGCAAAGGAATGCAGCGCAGAACATTACTGCAATGCAATGCAAAGCAACACAGTGCAACACGGCACAGTGCAATGCAGTGCAACACAGTGCAACACAGCACAGTGCAATGCAAAGCAATGCAGTGCAAAACAACACTGCGCAATGCAATGCAACACAGTGCAACACAGCACAGGGTAATGCAAAGTAATGCAGCACAAAACAACACTGTGCAATGCAATGCAACACAGTGCAACACAGCACAGTGCAATGCAAAGCAATGCAGTGCAACAGCACTGTGCAATGCAACACATTGCAAACCAGCACGGTGCAATGCAGTGCAACACAGTGCAACACAGCACAGTACAATGCAAAGTAACGCAGCGCAAAACAACACTGCAATGCAATGCAATGCAACACAGTGCAACACAGCACAGTGCAATGCAAAGCAATGCAGTGCAACAACACTGTGCAATGCAACGCAATGCAACACAGTGCAACACAGCACAATGCAATGCAGTGCAACACAGTGCAACACAGCACAGCACAGTGCAATGCAATGCAACACAGTGCAACACAGCACAGTGCAATACAAAGCAATGCAGTGCAAAACAACATTGTGCAATGCAATGCAACATAGTGCAACACAGCACAGTGCAATGCAAAGTAACGCAGCACAAAACAACACTGCAGTGCAACACAAAGCAACACAGTGCAACACAGCACAGTGCAATGCAATGCAACACAGCGCAACACAGCACAGTGCAATGCAAAGCAATGCAGTGCAAAACAACACTGCACAATGCAGTGCAACACAGCACAGCACAGTGCAATGCAACACAGTGCAACACAGCACAGGGTAATGCAAAGCAATGCAGCACAGAACATTACTGCAATGCAACGCAAAGCAACACAGTGCAACACAGCACAATGCAATGCAAAGCAATGCAGTGCAACAACACTGTGCAATGCAACGCATTGCAACACAGCACGGTGCAATGCAGTGCAACACAGCACAGTGCAATGCAAAGCGATGCAAAACAACACTGCAATGCAACGAAATGCAACACAGTGCAACGCAGCGCAGCACAGCGCAGCGGAGCCCCGCACGCCTCCGACCGCTGCGGGGCAGCACCGCGTCGTTCCCCGCAGCTCCGCCCGCTCCGCGCGTGCGCCGTGCGCGTCCCCGCTCCTCTCTGCCGTATGCGGGCACGGCTGGGCTGGGGGTTGGGTTGGGGGCTGGGCTGGGGGTTGGGGCTGCTGGTGGCGGCGGGGGGCCGCTGCCCGAGGCGGGTCTGGGGTCCGGAGTGGGGCTGGGGCCGCTCCCCGCAGCGCGATATGCACGGACAGAGCGAGGGGAGACCGCGTTACCTCGGGTATGGGACGGGGGGGCATCGTGGGGGTACGGGGGTGCGCATAGGGGGCAGCAGGGTGAGG